CCATCCAGGATGACACCGAGAGATGGGGCCTGTCAGATGGACAGTGACAGGCTGTGATTGGCTGTCAGGGTCAGTTGTGTTTGAAGAGTAAAAAAAAAGAGGAATAGGGAAGGAGGTGAGGCAATCAATAACCAACAGCCGCCACCGCGTAAACACTGCCGTCGTTGGCAATGACAGCACTGCCTGTCGGAATAAAAACCTACGAGCAAACCAGAACCCTCGGACAGGAAGTGTCACCTCAGAGCGTTGTCAAATCCAGCGCAGACCGAGCCGTCAGCTGACAGCTGCTACTCCAGATGACGGAGCGGGGGTTGAGTCTACTTCGCCAGCTTGGACGTACGCGGCAGGAGCGGTTTACGAGGATACGAGATGCTAACGAATTCAAACGTCAGTGACCTGATGCCATTGGACCGTCTTCACCGTCAGCTTGTCTTTCTTTATCGGACCATTGATGACGTCTGTTGTTGTCAGTCATCTTCGATGGAATATAATTTTATTGTTATTGAATAAATACAGTCACAAAACAATGTGTCTTCTACAACAGGGCCCCTCAACCTACGGTCCGTGGACCGGTACCAGCCCATGGGCCACAGTGGAATAATTAATAATTTACTTAATTTAAAGAGAATTTGATCATTTACATTTACTTTCCTGATTTTAGAATTTAAGACATTTTTTCAAAATAATGCTGGTTGGATTTGAACCTGCAATCTTTCGATAACAAGACAGAGCCTCTTACTGTACCAGAAGACTTTCTTATTTTTAGTCTCATTAATTCGAGCGTTTTCACCAACTGTATCTGTGGCTTTGTTTGTTTTGTATCCCAGTTACCTTGAATTGACTCTTGGGGAAACAAACAAACAAACAAAGTCGAACACTGTAAAATATGGCTTTAAAGCTCTTTCTCTCAGACGCTCCGACATCAGTTCAAAAGGCATTCTTTCAAGGTCAACACTGAGTCACGGAGTACAGCTGCTGAGGGGAGAAGGTTGTCAGAACAACAAAGGATAAATGGAGGGAAAATCAAGTCATTAAAGTCCAAACGCAGTCCAAGAATCACTGGGAATCCAGCTAACAATTTCTAGGGCAGAGGTCACCAATCTTTGTGAAACTGAGCGCTACTTCAACGGTACCTATTAATACGAAGAGTTCCTTGTTTGATACTGACTTCCCAAACAAAGTATTAATAAACACAAAGAAAAACTAATGCAGTTCCGTGAAGTTCTGGAACATACAATAGTGGAGGTTTGCGACTTATACTCAGGTGCGACTTATAATATATAAATTCACGTTTGGTTGTTTTTACACTGAAAGCCACTAGAGGGCACTCTAGCTGGCTGTTGCGTAGTCTGAAAAATACTGTACTAGTCTAATTGATTAAAAAAGAACAGTAACAGTACAACTTTTAGAACTTTCCAAACTTTCAAGGACTGGTCTTGAACAGGTTTTTCACCACATATATGTCCATTATGATAAAGTGGAATATATATATAAAAAGGTCAGTGCAGCGGGTGGTCTGACAGAGTCATGCATTGATAAGTGTTTTATAACCACAGTCCTCTGAACCGTTAT